ATTATTTTGACCAAAAATCGCCAAGTGAGCGAAATGCATTTCTATTTGAACGTCCATTTTCGTAATAGGCTTCGATAACTTTAACACGTGGATTGATTAATCTTTCCATGATTGAAATTGCCAAAGACTTAAGTTGTTAAATCTGAAAGAAAAAGAAAAAGAAAATCATTAGACGCTTAAACATAATTCACATTTAAAATTGGTTCAAGTTATTGGTACGCCCTATATTAATAAAACATTTACTCTCTTTTGTCTTAGTCCCTTTACTGCTTTGCATGGGGTGAATATAATTTTATTTTTTAAATATTAATTAAGTCAGGGACAAGGTTACAGTAGTGATCCAGTAGTAATTGAGTTCCTTGCACTAGCAAATTAATTTACAGTTTGTAGTTTGTTAAACACTGAGCTCTGATATGGAACACAAAGACCCTACATAATGATGTACTAAACTTAGTCTGACATAAAGCCTCAGTGAAAGCGCACTAGGGATTTTTTTTTTCATTTAAGCGTCATGGATCAGAAATACATTAGAAAAAGGTAACACCTGGCGAGATTTTAAACTCGCATCTGTTATTTCTGGAAGCCCATCTAATATGGATTTCACCTGCTATTCTCTATGGACAAATCCATGTAAGACGGGCTTCCGAGAATACGGGAAGCTATTTCAAATCTCGTTGTAGGCAACATTTATTATTGAACTATGCTCCTTACTTAACAGGTGTAGAATATAAAATCTAATTGATCGCTGCAAATAGATTTAAACAACAAAACATAAGAAACTAACATTGTTTAGAATTACAAAGAAACAAATGTATTTATTTGCAAAATTAGTGCACCGCGAAACATAGTAAATACACAAAAATAGACAGGTGCGTAAGGCAAGGATGTGTCTTCTCCCTAGACTTATTCAATCTTTACAATAAGGCGATCTTGAGAGAATTAGAAATCCTAGCAGGATTCACTATTAGCGGCCATAATCTTAAGATACTTAAATAATACAGTGTTGATAGTAGACACAGAAAAGAAACTACATGAACTCCTACAGAAGGTAGATATAGAAAGCGAAAAGAAAGGACTAAACATCAATTGTAAGAAGACAGAATAGTTGTATAGTTGTCAGCAAAAGGAACAGCTCAAGATGCCAATTACAAATTGGGGATGCCGAAAGATGTCTTACAAAAGCTAAGCAAAGAAACAGAAAAAATATCGTTAGAAAGAAAGAAAAGAGTACGGAACTGTTATGTAGCATCGGTCCTCTTATATGGCAATGAATGCTCGGCAATCTCCTCACAGATAAAGAAAAGACTTGATTCATAAGAAATGTGGTTCTACAGAAGGATGCTGAGAATACGATGGACCATATGAACAAAGACGAAGTGCGAAAGACAATGGCAACAAAATGGACACATACTTAGGAAGAGACAGTTGAGGTTGCTGGGTGCGCATAATGAGGAAGGAGGGCTTGGAAAATTTGATACACACAGGACGGATTGAAGTTAAGAGTGACAGAGGACAGCAACGCACAACTCACCGATGGTGCATTGGAATAGCGAAAGGTACCTTCCAAAAGCTAAACAAAGTATTAGGAAACAGGAAAATTTTCTGTTAGAAACAAAGAAAAGAATAGTTGATTTTTATGTAATATTGATCCTACGACAGTGAATTTTGGACAATCTTCAGACAGGGGAAGAAGAGACTTGAGGTGACAGAAACTGAACAGGTAAGCACACAGATTTGAGGAAAATAGAAGCAGAAAGAACATTTAGAAAGAGACCATTGAATTTTCTAGGGTACACAATGAGTAAAGAGGAGTGTATTTTAGAAGAAAGTGGGCTTTTATGTTTAAGAGTTGGAAATTTTGATACTCACAGGATATATTGAAGACAAGAGAAACAAAAGCATTGCATAAGCTACCTAAGGAGCTTGTGTGGCAGAACAGGGATAAGGAAAGATATTAAAAATATTTACTAAGAGCTACAAAGAACAGGAATTTGTGGAGAGCCATAATCGCCCACGTCATGAAAGGACACAGAACAAAACAAAACCCAGATTTCGTTAAACGTGGAAAGTTAAGCAACGTTGAGCCTGGTCACTACGTAAATGAGTAACCACTCTGGAATACCAGGTGCTGCAACCCTGGATGTGAATGTAGTGTAATGGGTAATGGCTCATAATTGATAATCGGAGAGCCGTGTTCCAATTCCAGTTGGGTTAGTTATATTCACTTACGCGCAAATATCCTTGGAAAAGGTATGAATCAACCTCTTATCATCCTCACAGCTATGGGTTAATTAGTAAAACATGTATCACTGAACCTTTCTTATCTCAAAAACAAAAAAAAATATTCCAATCTAAAAATATTTTCTGGCTTTAAATAACCTTCAAATGGTTAATAAACCGTAAAAAACGAATCAATCAATCGAAAATATTGTATTCTTGTTTGAGGAGCAGTCGTTTAAAATAAAGCTCAATGCAGTTTTCATATTTCCTAACGTCCGGTTCATACTCCTCCCTAATCTTATGAACAGGAGTAGAGTTTTATCCCTTATTTCCTATTTAGGATTGGGTTTCCAGGTCCTGCAATTCTGTACTTCTGACGCCCCCTTTATTCAGTAATTATTACTATTTTCTTTCCTTCCCAACAGGAATGGATAGGTTTGCCAATCGCCCGGTTCACACTCCTCCCCGTTTTTTTTTGTTTGTTTTTTTAACAGGAATCGAGGTTTATCCCTTGTTTTCTGTTTAGGATTGGGTTTCCGGTTCTTTCTAAAGTCTACTCCCACTCTTGTCATATAGGAATAAAGTATCGCTGCCGACACTTGAGTTTGAACATAGATCGCCAGTGAACAAACACAGCCGATCCCATTATTGAATTAAGTATATCACGTAACCACAGAGGAAACGCATATATAGGAAGTCGCGTGATGTCTAAATGATCTCTATTTCTAGACTATCCTCTATTACTATACGGACCGCTATTCTCTACTCTATTCACTATACTATTTCTCTATTCAGATCACTATACGGATTACTGTTCGAGTAAGCATTATCGAGCAAGTACTATTAATGCGAGTGTTATTCGAAGGCGTCTGACACCAGTATTGTTCAACGTCGTTACTATAGTTTGCATCTGCGATTACAAAGTCTCTACCATAACGAGCATTACGAAAGTGACAACGAGTGTTCGTTGACATCACAAAAGTGGCAATGAATGTTGCTTGACATCACAAAATCTCTATACTTCTAAAGTTTTCAACTAAACTCTAAAAGGATATTCACTAATTAAATCTTGACTTCTTCAAGTGTAGAGTAAACTTTTATCTTTCCTGCATAACGCCAAGAGCGATTTTTTTGCCATTTCATACATTAATACAACACCACACAGTAAACATTTGCCTTGAGTGGCTCTTGGGCCTTGTATTCGCTAAACGTTAGTAAAAAAAAAATTAAATAAATTTCACTTAACATTTGGTTTTATATCCTTTCTGGTAAGACGTCTTTACATTCCGTAATATTTGGAGTCATATTTGGACACTATTTACATTATTCGGACTATTGTCCTCATCTTTGTTGCCATCAACGTTTCAGGTGGTTGGAATGTCGAACTGAATCCTTTGTTTCGCTCGCTGGAATAGGCTGTTCTAGGTCCACGTGCCATATCTAATGGATATCAGTTATCAGTTATCTCCTGTTAATTCCCCTCCCTTTATCCACTGTGCAATGTGTCCTATATTTGGAGTCATATGTGTCGTGATTCTCTGGTTCTTAAGCGATACATTTGAAGCTTTCGTTAAAAAAGTTGGTTAGCCAAGTTTCTCATTCAATAAGTTCTCTTTGCCAAAAAGTAATTATTTTCTTTTGTTTCGCATTCGATTGAAAATAACGAATTCTGTCATCTGTCTCCCATTGTAATGTTTACAATTTTCATTGTTTTGTGCAAATAGAAAAAAAAAAGCATTACCTTGTTCAAACTGTGTGCCCCCACATGAATCGATATTTAAATGAGGCACAAAGCAACAGATGGGATTCATTCGAATGGGAAGAACGTTTATCCAGTACAGCACGGAAAGATTATTGATCATTTCCTTTGGGTATAGAACTGGGTGTATTATTTAAATAGACGTTTCGTTTAAATACGCATAAATATATATATATATATATATATATATATATATATATATATATATATATATATTATGAAATGGACAAAGTTCGACAATTATTTTTAAGACATTTTTATAGATACAAATATTTAAGTAAATGTTCTGTTTATAATAAACAGTATTAACAACATTTACCGGCCTGAATGCCCGAGAAATCTTCAGAGAAAATATGCGTCCTCCGACAGAAATAGAACTTGTATCCTATACGGAACCATCATATAGCCTGACGTGCCTTAACCGATTGGGCCACAGAGGAGCGTTCGAAGAAGACTTTAGTTACAGTTTCTTGGAGAAAGAGTGTTATCTAGTGTTATCAACAATCTGAACAAGGCCAGCACACTCAAATCCTCGGTTACCATGACTTGTGACATCGTGCTAGCACAGCCAGATAGATAGATAGATAGATAGATAGATAGATAGATAGATAGATAGATAGATAGATAGATAGATAATTCATTGTTTTACGGCTTAGCCCTTTGCAGGTCATTTAAAGCCAGCAAATTGTGAGAGTTGTTTTTAAGGTAACAATATTTTAGTAATATGTCTTACTAATTAATCCATAGTTGGGGGGAGAAGAGGAGGATTCATACCTTTCCCAAGTGTTGGTTGTTTTTGTTTAGTGGCATATCAACCACTATGGGTTATTTAATACCAAAATCTAAATATTTTGTCCACAATTTTATTTTTATTTTATGGAGTTAATAATGTTTTAGTGGTACAAGTCTTACTAATTAAGCCATAGCTGGGGAGAAAGAGTATTTGCGCGTAGGTGAATATAAAGAACCCAACGGTAATTGGAACTCGACACTCCGATTAACAATTCCGAACCATTATCCATTACACCACCCGGTATCCCTAAGGAGACAGCCATGTAAGTACTGACCAAGCTCGATGTTGTTTAACTTCGGTGATCGTGCGGGAACCGGTGTTTCAACGTGATGTGGTCGTAAGCCATAGAAAGAAAGAAAGAAAGAAAGAAAGAAAGAAAGAAAGAAAGGAAGGAAGAAAGAAAGAAAGAAAGGAAGGAAGGAAGGAAGGAAGAAAGAAAGAAAGAAAGAGACAGATTGGGGTAGATATGAACAGAATATGATAGATAGATAGATAGATAGATATGCTTGCCATTGTTATAGTTGAATATGAAAACCTCTTTATTTCTTAAAAACACACACGCATACACACACACACATATAGATATATTTGTGCATATATATATATATATATATATATTTTTAAGAAATGAAGAGTTTTTCATATTTGTATATATATATATATATATATATATATATATATATATATATTGTATATATATGTGTGTCTGTACTTGTTTGAAAATTACACTGAAATTGACGTGTCTATAAATATGTTTCTTACGTAATTTGTTACAAAATTAAAAATCTGCTTAGTAAAAAATGATCTTTCTTTGTTCGTATGTTTGCCTTGTGCCGTACTAGTCGAAACTGATAAAACATGAAATATGTTTGCTAGTATTTCATAAAGGAAGCATCCCTTTGTGGAAGACGGAATGGTGTGTAAAAATGCCTGAGATCAGTTAAATGCGACATAGGACAGGGAAGAATTGTAAGGGTTGCAGTCTTCACTCACAGTTCATAGACAATATGTCAAAATGGTCCTACACTCCCAAAATGGAACTTTTTTTTTTAAATTTTGTTTTTATTTATTTTTTTAGAGTGTGTGTGTGTGTGTGTGTGTTTTCAGGAAACGTAATCGTAACAAGTGCGTAACTTAAAAGACTTTGGTCGTATAAATAATCACTTGCACAATCCCCTTCATTTATTTTCCCTCTCTCTACATCTACTTCTCCCTTTCTCTCACTCCTCCCTTTCTCACACTCCACCCCTCTCTCTCTCTCTCTCACTTTATCTTTTCGCCTCTGCTATTTTAATAACGTTCGTTTCTATCAATAGACTTATCCTATTTCTTGATCTCTCTCCTGCTATGTCACGTTCTTTCCTCGTCTCTCTCTCTCTCCCTTCCACCCCCTCTCTTTCTTTCTCAATATATGTAAATATATGCATAAATATGTATATTTATCGATTTTACTATCTTTCTTTCCCTCTCTCTCTCTCACACACACACTCTCTCTCTCTCTTTCTCTCTTCCCACCTCCTTCACAAACTGTTATCTACCAACTTTTTCTCTCTAATATTGATCAACCATATTGATTTAATTTTTCTTTTTTTTTCTCTCGTCCGACATAAGCTGACTCACCATGCATATTGTTTTATTAAACAAGTGAAGTTGTCCAAAGGTGAATTTTATTTTTAAATTTTCTCTAAATTTGAGATGGCCTACCAATGGACAGATGATGCTAACGGCTCATGCCTTCAACAAGATTCTCCCAGTTTTATCGGACGCCGCTAAACAAACCGATCCACATTCAAACCTGATTCAAAATTTTACAGCTAAATGTCGAATACAGGTAGTAATTTTACTGCTTTTTTTTTTAACTCTTTTCCATTTTTTTTTTTTTTTTTTTTTTTTTTTGCCTAGCGGGATCGGACGTAGTTTTTATTAAATAAGGTACTTCCCGATTTTACATTCAGCCTTTAAAATCTGTTTTTAAAGTTAAATCCCATTCTCGATTATAAATACATCCTTAAAAAACTCTTTTTAATGTTATTTTTGTTTGTTTTTGCATTGTTTTGTTTTTGTTTTTTGTTTTTTGGTGTGGTGGATTTGTATGAGTAGATAGGTCCCCCCCTATCGTCGTGTTCGTAATCTTCCCCAGTCTTTTGAATAGGAGTAGAGGTTTATCCCTTGTTTTCTGATTAGGACGGGCTCTCGGGTTCCTTCTAAATTCTTCTTATTCTCTTTCACTTTTAGCAGCCCCTTGTGTTTTAATGGCCTTACCAACCGCCTTGCTTCGGGTGAATTGATTAAAAAAAAAGAAGATTACTATACATTCCCAATTTTAAAAACTTCCTTTAAAATTTCGTTTTATTTTTAAGAACGTTTTCTTCCCAATTTTAAATACACATCTAAAAATCTATTTTTTAAGCTAAGTAATTTTTACTCCCAATTTTAAATACACCTGAAAAGATATCTTCCTAAGGTTAAGTACTGTATATCCCCGGTTTTAATGTGCTCTTAAAAACCTCTTTTAAAAGTAATTTTCATTCACAATTTTAAATACACACGTAAAAACTTATTTTTAAGGCTATGCAATATACATTTCCGATTTTAAGTAAACTCTTGAAAATCTATTTTTAAAAGTTATTTGCAATCACGATTTTAAATACACTCTTGAAACTGATTTTTAAAACTTATGTTTACATTCCAGATTTTAAATACACCCTTAAAATTGATTTTTAAAACTTAAAGGTTTACATCTGCGATTTTAAATACAACCTCAATGGTTTTTTGGGGTTTTTTTTTTTTTTTTTTTTAAGTGAAGCGTTTTAATTTTTCGATTTAATTAGATATGGGCAAAGGAATTCAGTGTATTATTTTTATATTTAAAAATGGGATTTTTCTTGTGTCTTCAGTCTCTAGCTAAAAAAAAAAAAAAAAAAAATGAGAATTTTTGCACATACCTAATAAATAATCCTTTAAGATTTTAATGTCTTTATTTAACTATTCCCTGTTATTCTATAACATTGAGATGAGACTTTATTATTGCAAGATTTGTGTGCCGGCATTTGTTTCAGGATCGCTTGTCGGAATAGATATTGTCCCGGAAGAATCGCTTGGGCGAACAGATATGATGCTGAAAGACCCGAAACTTATGATCCCAAGTCAATAACATCACTGATGAGGCGATCCTGCGCACCCCTTGGGGTGTATCATAACAAACAAATGTGTATGTGTGTGTGTGTGTGTGTGTGTGTGTGTGTGTGTGTGTGTGTGTGTGTGTGTGTGTGTGTGTGTGCAGCATTTTTGTCAGATCTATTCTTCGACCATCTTCAAGTACACAAAGATTTCTTTCTGTAACTGGTAAATAACCCATTTTCATTCCATGATTATCTTCGTTTATTGATCTCATTCTTTTTGTTACTGCTGTTATTATCGCAATATTATGGCTGTTCCGTTCTCCGACCTTCTTCGGATGCTCACATATACGCTCGGTAATTTAAATGTAGAATTGCCTGTGTCTAACAAGAAGCTGACAAACCGACTTCATCTGGTCAGGATATTTTTTTTCTGTTTTACGATATTAGTGACAACAGCTTGAAAAGAAAACGTCCTCTCCTTCTCCACAGATATTATAGCAGAAGAAGGCCGTAGAATTGATCGACAGAAATTTGGTAATACCAAAAGCAACAAAAAGAATAAGAACATTAAACAACTCTTGGAATATCAATAACTTGCCTCAAAATTACGGAAAGCCGTAGAATTGATCGTCTGCACATTTTGAAGGCGCTTAATACAAAGAACTGGTGCACAGCGTGCCGAAAGGTCTCCAAACAGCAACACCTCACGTTTTGAATGCAGAGTTGTCCTTTTACTAGACCGGCTGCCAACCAAGGCTATAGGACACCTTCTGTCCTGCTATTTACCTAGAGATGGATTCATACCATTCCCATGGTTATTTCCTTAATCCGAACCGCTATCCATTATTCCACTGTGCCTCCTTAGCTCTAAGTTGAAATGACGATCCCTCTTGCTGTTGTGACCTTCTGATACACTTTTCCTCTCTACTGTTCCATCTTTTTTAAACTTATTCACCGTTCTCTTGATGGTTCTTGAATGAACTTTGGAGATGGAAGCCAGAATATGATTACTGAAGACCTGAATGATCCTTTCCTCTCCCCGTTGCTCAGTTGGAAAGATGGTTGGTCTGACACGAAAAAATTTTAACCTAATCTCTCTTTAGCTGAATAACTCAAAAGGTTTTTTAGTGATTCTTACGAAAAACGATGTCAAGGTGGCTAAATATCCTCTCTGAAGACCTAGTGTTGAATGTTGGTGTAATAAAATATTTCTATGTACCATTGTATATATGTGCATATTTGTATATGCCTTTGAGATTTGTATGTATATGTGCATTATATTTTAAAAGATATATGAGATGTGTACATTTGTATTTAAATTATATGTATTTGGACTGCTCCACACTCATAATAGTAAGTTTTTATTGATTGATTTATTTTTTTATGGCTTATCGGCAGTTTGTAGGTTATTTACAGCCAGAAAATATTTTCAGATTGTAATAATTATTTGGTGGGGGGAGATAATAAGGATTTAGTGCTAAAAGCCTTAATAATTAACCCATAGCTGGGGGGGAGAAGAGGTGGATCCATACCTTTCCAAACGGTATTTACTAGTAAGTGAATATAACGAACCCAACTGAAAATGGAACTCGGCTCTCCGACTAACAATTCCGAGCCATTATCCATTACACCACCCGCACATCCAAGTTTACAGACAATTGGTATTCCAAAATGGCGATCGACTGGAACAGGTGTTCCAACGGTACATGGCCGTAAGTCATAAGAGTACGATATACATATCAATATTTAAATTTTACAACAATCAGTTTTCAATCAGCACCTGACAATTGCATCGCGCATGAAACTCCAGTTGTATTACTGGAATGAAAATGTATATTTATTATTAATATATATATATATATATATATATATATATATATATATATATATATATGGGGTAAAAAACAACTGTTTCTATTCAGAAAACATTCGATATTCACTCACCAAACAGTCACCGTCGTTTGAAAATTTAAAAATCTTTTTAGACAGATTCAATAGACTTCTCAAATGCCCTGTTGTCTCTCTTTCTAATATTCATGACAGTTTTCTTCCTAAAATTTTGTTTTAGGTCGTGTGGAATATTAAAAGTTTCATTATTTCCCCTTTTAGTTACATGTGCTATCCATTTTAGTTGTCGCTGCTATTGAAAGTCTTCAAGTGATGTTTTGTCTTTTGGTAAATCCCTTTCTTTGTCATTTCGTATCGCCTGTCCATAGGTC